ATCCCTAAACCCCCAAACTCACAGTCTCCAAATGCCTATCTCTCCAAATTCTGAATCCACTCTTCTCAAACGCCAAATCCCTCCAAAAATCCTATTTTTCTAGATTCCTGTCTCCCTAAATTCTGAATCCATCAGATAATCAATCGCTTACGATTTGGTGGTTTTTTCCAGAGGCATGTTCGACAGGGCCTTCATGCTCTTCGGTCGCAACACGCTGAGTTTGAAGGTCGCCTTGTAAGGGGGCTCGTCCATGCAAGGAAAGACGCTCTGCGCATGATCCAGTCTGAAGTTGGTACCAACGTAAGGGCTGAAGAAGAAACGATTGATATAATCTGTGGTTCCTCGCCTACATATGATTCGTAGTGAAAGCGAATTACTATTCGTTCCCATTTTCGTCGGTGTAGACGTTCTTGAAGAGGCCAGTGGTCGTTCCGATGCTCAGATTTCCGAAGAAGAATAGATCCACCTCGCAGCTGCTGCCCGCCATCAACATCTGCTCCAAGTGAATCGTGTACCAAGGCTTACGCTCGTCGGGTTGGGTGATCCTCGCCACGTTCACGTCCAGCATTGGTAAACCTTTTTCTCTTTTGGTACATTCGGTTTGAAACGATCAGTTGTCCGTGTAATTTTTTGTGAAAATTATGGAGGTTGGATTGTAATTTCTAGGTACGGAAGAATTTTGATATTTTCCTGCTGGGTAATCTCGAGGAGGGGAAATTTTTATGTTGGGGGGAAGTTCAAGAATTTGGGAAATGGGGAATTAGGGAAGTGGGGAATGGGGGCACGGGGGAATTAAGGTAGCGGGGAATTAAGGAACTGGGAAATTAAGGTAGTGAGGAATTAAGGAACTGGGAAATTAGGGAACTGGGAAATTAGAGAACTGGGAAATTAGGGAATGAGGAAATTAGAGAACTGGGAACTTAGGAAATTGTGAAATTAAGGAACTTGAGAGTTTGGTAGTTTGCTAATTGAAAAGTTTGGAATCTTAAAGTACACAAATATAGAAATTCTGTAATATAATTCCCTGTCCCGCCCCCAAACCCCCATGGCGCAGGGAAATATCAAGATTCCACTACACTGAAACCTCGAAAATAAACATAACAAATCAATAGACATTCTTGTACATCGACATACCTTTCCTGAAACGACGATTCCGTGATCCTAACTTTGTACAATTCGATGATGAGATCCGGACGAGCGTTGAAGATGATCGTATCGCTGGGATCTTTCCAGGTGACGTTGACCTTCACTTGGCCCGCGAATTTGTCCTGATCGAAAAATGGTTGAAGTTCTAAGTGGTAACTAGTTGGTACGACTTCGCTTCGTAATCTGAGTAGACGCATATTGTAGTGGTACAAATCGTCTAGGGAAATACTTCGTTTCAATCCTGACGGTTCCTGGAATACCAATTTTCACTCACGTTTGTTCACATGTTAATACCGACTGTGACACTTCTGGGATTAATGTTAGTACTCTATGTTAGTACTTTCGTTAATATTTGTTAATACTTTTGTTAGTAATTTTGTTAATACCAATTTTGTTAATACTTTTGTTAGTAATTTTGTTAATACCAATCGTGTTAATACTTTTGTTAATACTTATCTAGATGAGGTCAGATAAATTTGACTGAAGATGCTTAAGATTGAACTAGCTTACACCAAAAACTGCTGCAGTGTCCTGCGGCAGAGTCAGCACCAGAAAAAGCCCGGTGATAGCTGCTAAGTACCCCATGGTTCTTCTATGGTCGAAGACGAAACAATCGAACAGTGCAAGTAAAAAAATGTTAGTACTATTTTTTAAATAACTATATTATTAGTTAGGGAATTTGGAAATATAGGAATTTAGGAGTTGGGGAATTGGGGAATTGGGGAATTGGGAAAATGGAGAAATTAGGGAATTGGGGATGTAGGGTATTGCAGATGTGGGGAATTGGGAATGTAGGGAATTGGGAATTTTGGGAATTGGGAATGTGGGGAATTGGGAATGTGGGGAATTGGGAATGTGGGGAATTGGGAATGTGGGGAATTGGGAATGTGGGGAATTGGGAATGTGGGGAATTGGGAATGTGGGGAATTGGGAATGTGGGGAATTGGGAATGTGGGGAATTGGGAATGTGGGGAATTGGGAATGTGGGGAATTGGGAATGTGGGGAATTGGGAATGTGGGGAATTGGGAATGTGGGGAATTGGGAATGTGGGGAATTGGGAATGTAGGGAACTGGGAAATTAGGGAATTGGGAATCTAGGGAATCGGGAATCTAGGGAATTGGGAATCTAGGAATTGGGAATCTAGGGAATCTAGGGAATTGGGAAATTGGGAAATTGGGAAATTGGGGAATTTGGAAATTAGGGAATTTGGAAATTAGGGAATTGGGAATCTAGGGAATTGGGAAATTAGGGAATTGGGAAATTGGGAAATTAGAGAATTTGGAAATTAGGGAATTGGGAATCTAGGGAATTGGGAAATTAGGGAATTGGGAAACTAGGGAATTTGGAATCTAGGGAATTGGGAATCTAGGGAATTTGGAATCTAGGGAATTGGGAATCTAGGGAATTTGGAATCTAGGGAATTGGGAATCTAGGGAATTTGGAATCTAGGGAATTGGGAATCTAGGGAATTTGGAATCTAGGGAATTGGGAATCTAGGGAATTTGGAATCTAGGGAATTGGGAATCTAGGGAATTGGGAAATTAGGGAATTGGGAAATTGGGAAATTGGGGAATTGGGGAATTGGGAAATTAGGGAACTGGGAAATTAGGGAATTGGGAATCTAGGGAATCGGGAATCTAGGGAATTGGGAATCTAGGAATTGGGAATCTAGGGAATCTAGGGAATTGGGAAATTGGGAAATTAGGGAATTAGAAAATTAGGAGATTAGAAAATTAGGGAATTGGAGAATTGGGGAATTGGGAAATTAGGAAATTGAGAGTCCAGGAAATTAAAGAATGGGGTAATTAGGAAATTTGAAAATATGAAAATTTCAAAATTCGTAAAATTAAAAACCTTAAAAACGTGAAATTGAGAAATGAGTAAAGTCTTAATTCCACGAAAACCATGATCACATAAACAATCCCCCACATAACACCCTCGCTCACGTATCACCGAATCGACTTACTTCGTAATCCAGGAGCAACACGTCCGTGCTCTCATGCGCCGAAATCGGATCTAACCGGAATCGATATTACGTACGAAAAGAACAGTCAAGTACGAAGGTGGTTGAAGTCAAGCTCGCTGAAGGTAGCTTGACCTTGACAACTCGAAGGTGTCGTGTATCCAGCGTAGCCGAAGGACCGCGTTCGAACGCAGTCGCTGCGAAACTGTCCTTCAGCTTGTTGCTTCTGTGAACCGTAGGGTTTTGTTCGAAAAAGAAAAAACTGTGAAATCGTGTGCAACGGGGGAGCAGATGAAACGTGAAGGAGCCACGTGATAGGTGCTCCCCTCGACGGATCGGCGAAGCAGGGATCCAAAGCGCTTAGAGCCATTTAGAGCAGCCGCGTAATCGGTGGATCGTCCATTATCCAATTTCATCGGGCAGACGTCACAAAGGGGCCCAATCACCATGGTATCCGTCGCTGAAGCGCAGCGTCAATGGCCAATTCCGTAAGCATCAATGAAAATTGAGACGCCACGAGCTCCCCATTTCAATCTCCCCGCCTGTTGCCGATTCTGCAACCAGAAACCATTGTACGGTCGTTTAATGGTTGAAAAGCGGACAATTCAGGTCCGAGCAACTTCGTTTCCCATTTGCCGTCAATTGGAACTAGTGGCGCGTCTTGCGTTTTCCTCAGCTCGCTAACGCTTCGCCTTTTTTCGAACGTGGGGGAGAAACCTACGCTCGACACGGAGACCCAGTGGCCATTCCCTTTCGAACGGGAATCTGGGTCACCGATTCACCCTTGGGGAATCGCTACTGTTTGGGGACCTTATTTTATAGGTTAGGTTATTTAGGTTAGGTACTTTAGGAATCTTCTCATTTTGTAGGTTGGGTTATTATTTAGGTTAGGTACTTTTGGGACCAACTCATCTTATAGGTTAGGTTATTTAGGTTAGGTACTTCAGGGATCATCTCATTTGACAGGTTAGGTTATTATTTAGGTTAGGTAGGGATCTAGGAATAGAGGGATATAGGGATTTAATAATCTAACCATGTGGTAATCTAGGGATATTGGGAAACTAGAGATATAGGAGTCTAGGGATATTGGAAACTAGAGATATAGGAGTCTAGGGTTGTAGGAATTTAGGAATATGGGAATCTAGAGATATGGGAATTTAGGGATATGGGAATCTAGGGATATGGGAATCTAGAGATATGGGAATCTAGGGATATGGGAATTTAGGGATAGAGGAATTTAGGAATATGGGAATCTAGAGATATGGGAATCTAGAGATATGGGAATTTAGGGATATGGGAATCTAGAGATATGGAAATCTAGAGATATGGGAATTTAGGGATATGGGAATCTAGAGATATGGGAATCTGGAGATATGGGAATCTAGGGATATGGGAATTTAGGGATAGAGGAATTTAGGAATATGGGAATTTAGGGATATGGGAATCTAGGGATATGGAAATCTAGAGATATGGGAATCTAGGGATAGAGGAATCTAGGGATATTGGGATCTAGTAATATTGGAATCAAGGAATATTGGGATCTATGGATATTGGAATCTAAGGTTATTGGGATATAGAGATTTTGGGATCTAGGGATATTGGGTTCTAGGAATATAGGAATCTAATAATCTAGTAATTTCAGCTTGTGATAACCTAAGAACATAGTACATCTAAATATATTGCAGCCTAGAAATAAAAATGAAAAACCACACAACATAGTCGAAACCTTCATATCTCAACGATATCTCAAAATACTCAAACAGTAAAATTGCAACATAGAAAATCCCCAAACGACTTGTAACTATACTATGACATACATCACTCGAGTACTTTACTCCAGTATACTTTACTGCATTAAGCAATAATAACGTAATGGTATTTGAAGCTAAATCCGCAACCGCCTCCACTCGTTAAATCGTTTTTCCATCGCAAATACGGTTTACACGTTTTTATATCTATGCACACACACGTTCGCTCTCAGAAAATCGCTACGGGAAGAAGGCTGGAGATGTGGAAGGCAGTAATTGAAACAAAAAAACAGGTGGGGGATTCGAGTAACATTCGGAGCGTCGGCCAGTGTTGGTCAGGTATCGCTTCATAGGTAGAACGACTAATTGCGTTGCACCTGCAACGAGTGTCACGAGTCCGCGAATTTTACGCGATATTTTTAGGAGGTCCTTAGAATTCTGTATATATTGTTCGGTATACACGTGACCGATTTGTTTTCGCGGCTGAGATAGACTGCACGCGATACAGCGTCGTTTTGCTGAAGAGACCGGAAGCTGGCCACATGAGCCGAGGATCCATTTCCAGTTGGCAAGATTATGGACGCAGAAATTGTATGTTACTTTATATTCTTTTTCTTGTCAGATTTTTTATTAGTTTATTCACAGCATTTTAGCTTTTTTACATTTCTTTCATTTTTATTTTTAGTCAAGTTTCTTTTATTTTTATTTTTAGGCAGAGTTCTTTCATTTTTAATTTTTTGTTGGAGTTCTTTTATTTTTATTTTTAGTCAGAGTTCTTTTATTTTTATTTTTAGTTAGATTTCTTTCATTTTTATTTTTAGTCAGAGTTCTTTCGTTTTTAATTTTTTGTTAGTTATTTTATTTTTATTTTTTGTTAGAGTTCTTTTATTTTTATTTTTAGTCAGAGTTCTTTCATTTTTAATTTTTTGTTAGAGTTCCTTTATTTTTATTTTTAGTCAGAGTTCTTTTATTTTTCTTTTTGGTCAGCTTTCTTTCATTTTTATTTTATAAGATATCTACCTTAAGTTCTTCTGTAAGTCAGCTTTCCTTCATTTTTATTTTGACAGTCACATTTACATAATTTCTGTTTTATAAGCATATCGATCATTGACTTAATTAATTATTTTAGTAGACACATGTATAATCACATATGACAAATATTATTATAAAAGATAAATCTAAAAGCGTGAGTCATAGACCAATTAATCGTACGATAGTAAATAAAACGTTCGACTGGAGTAAAAACAGTGACAGTGAGGAAGAAATAAAGAGTGATAGTCATGTTAATGCCGAGATAAAAATGTGTGGCTTCCAACAGTTAACGAAACACAAGGTTATGTTTTCAGACTACTACTTGCGGTTGCATATTCTAATAATCATTCGGTTTACAAAGTATTCATATTCAGCGAACTTGACATTTTATGCAAGTATGCTTGAGTCCTTGATAATGGAGGGAAAGATGGCGTCCATATTTCTCATTATTTTAAGGTTATGGAGAAATTTTTAGTTTAAAGAGTTGAATTAGATTTATGATATAATGTTCATTGTAATGTTAATAAATATGTTAAAATATTTGTTATATTGCAATTCATTAAATTTATGTTTGAAGAGATTTTAAAGAAAATTTTATTGAAGAAATTTTATTAATAAAATTGTTATTAAATATGTTAAAACATTTGTTATATTGCAGTTCATTAAATTTATGTTTCAAGAGATTTTGAAGAAAATTTGATTGAAGAAATTTTATTAACAAAAGTGTTATTAAATATGTTAAAATATTTGTTATATTGCAGTTCATATATAAATTTATGTTTGAAGAGGTTTTTAAGAAAATTTGATTGAAGAAATTTTATTAATAAAAGTGTTATTAAATATGTTAAAATATTTGTTATATTGATGTTCACATATAAATTTATGTTTCAAGAGATTTTTAAAAAAATTTAATTGAAGAAATTTTATTAATAAAAGTGTTATTAAATATGTTAAAATATTTGTTATATTGCAGTTCATTAAATTTATGTTTCAAGAAATTTTTAAGAAAATTTAATTGAAGAAATTTTATTAATAAAATGATTTCTCCTGGAGACATCTACTACAGATTCGAATTAGTATTTCAGTGTGAGGACTCATCAGATTGGAATTTCTTAAATATTCCTGTTACCGTGAACATTTGCAAACAAAGTTGTAATCTTCCTTTGATCGTATCTTTCATCGATTAATTATAATTGCTTCCTCGTCAAAGACGTTCTTGCCACCGAAGCGTAACCAATGTTAATCAGCTAGAATTATCACCTAACAGTTTTCTTTCTGTTTCACTGAAGATCAAAATTGTGCAAAGGAGATATAACCTACATAACCTAATATACTCTCCCGAATAGAAAGATCGAACATACACGCGAAACGTGGATGATTCTGAGAGGAAACGTACGATTGCAGTTATTATGTGACATAGGTGTACTTGTGGTGATCAGCGTTACACGTGTAGCCGAGAACCAGCTTGTATCTTCTAAAGTTTTCTTGTTTCTTCCCTCAGAACATTTGCATTCTGGGTAATACTGCACTTCCATTTTGATTTCAAGTTAACCTCTTCGGGTATCTTTCGTAAAATTACGAAAAGAATTGAAACGTTTATTATAAACATTTATTATAATTTGTAAAATATACTGGCATACACAAAATATACTAACTTGATAGCATGGTGAAAGGATCTTTCATCTCTTACCTCATCTCATCAAAATTAGATGCACAACTTTAAAACTAAATGGCAGTAAAAAAATACAAGAAATTATAAATATTATTTATGCAATAAAAGGCACAGTATTTCATACATTCACACGTAACAAATTATTTCAATAATTTCGAACCATAATGCCTCCATTTTGTAAAATGTAAATTGTACCAATTTATTGTACCAACTATCCCAATTAAATTATACTAATTTATTGTACTAACTATCCCAATTAAATTATACTAATTTATTGTACTAACTATCCCAATTAAATTATACCAATTTATTGTACCAACTATTCCAATTAAATTATACCAATTTATTGTACCAACTATGCCAATTAAATTGTGCCAATATGCGTCCTAAGGACAACCAAATCTCTGAACACCAAGTCATCCTGAATTACCTTAAATCCAAGTTTCGTGAACACAATTGTAAAGCACACCTTAGCCAGCTTATCGCCAGCTTATCGTTTGCTTCGGTATGTGGTCGTTAAACGACGATGAATGGCCGGAGAACGTGGATCCGGTATATTTCGAGTTGCATTTGTTTTCAGATTGATCACGCACCACATGACATAACGTGTAACAACACAATTTCGCAGTATGTGTTGCCGTGAACGTCGTATACGTAATCATACACCGTAGTTAAACCTTTGATCTTCATCGCTCATAAATCTCGTCCAAAACAATTTTTCAACCGCACAAGTTCGTACAATTCTTTTTAGGTAAACCGTCAAGGTTAATACATGAATTTAATGCGGACATTTACTTCGAGCGTATCCTTGAGGTAAAAAATGCTGATTATCGCGTTATCTATCAGTTTTAAGAGGAAGATGGTTATTACGAGAGTTGTAGCTCGTGAAATTCTCTACAAAAAAGGTTCGATAAGTTTTTTTCGTAGGATTGATCGTGTTCGTGTAGGATGAAGTTGAGCTACTGCGTCAGGACCCATTTTTGAATAAATAGGCTCAAATTGTAGTGAAGGATTAGAACAAACGATAAACAAAATATTAACTTCACAGTCATTTTTCATAAATCGACTTTAAGTGTTCAGACATCGTTAACACGTTCACGGCAAGCATCAATCATAATTTGCATTTACAATGAGATTTCAACTGTGAGAGACTATAAACTATCAATTGTTCGTTCCTAACCTAACCTTTCATCGCTGTGCAATTTCGTTAAACATGAAACAATCGGAAGAACTTAGTACATTTCCACGAAAAAATTCTTCTTCCGTCATAACCAATCTGACAAGTTTGTTTACTGGGATTATCGTTGGAATCTTCAGAAATAATTAACAAGATGAGAATTCCACAGAAGCAGTTACATGTACAATTAATATAACTAACCACTAGCTATAATGCATCTCTAATTATATACCGTCAATTATCATTAATTACCGCTCGTGGCACAGAGATTTATCCATTGTTGTAGGGTTACATTATTTTTTAACATGATGAAAATTTGCTGATCAATTTGGGTGTCCGGGGGGTTTGAGAATTGAGGATATAGGGATTTTGGGATATAGGGAATTAGGGACATAGGGATTCAGGGGTATAGGGAATCGGGGATTTAGGGAATTTGAGATGTAGGGAATTGGAGATGTAGAGAATTGGAAATGTGGGGAATTGGAAGTGTGGGGAATTGGAGATATGGGGAATTGGAAATGTGGGGAATTGGGAATCTAGGGAATTGGAGATGTGGGGAATTGGGAATATGGGGAATTGGAAGTGTGGGGAATTGGGAATGTGGGGAATTGGAAGTGTGGGGAATTGGGAATGTGAGGAATTGGACAATGTGGGAATCGGGAATCTAGGGAATTGGAGATGTGGGGAATTGGGAATATAGGGAATTGGAGATGTGGGGAATTGGGAATATAGGGAATTGGAAATGTGGGAAATTGGGAATATAGGGAATTGAAAATGTGGGGAATTGGAAATCTATGGAATTGGAATTGTAAAGAATTGGAAATCTAGGGAATTGGGAATCTAGGGAATTGGGAATCTAGGGAATTGGGAATCTAGGAAATTGAAAATGTGGGAAATTGAGTATCTAGGGAATTGGAAATCTATGGAATTGGTAATCTAGGGAATTGGTAAGCTAGGGAATTCGACAATTTCAAAAATCAACCCTTTAAACAATTTCAACATACAAAACTCAACACTTTCCTAAAAGTTTTCCTAAATATGTCCTTAAACACCTAACAAAATCCAACCATCCAATCCTCTCCATATATCGCCGTTTTCGTACTTCATCATAACAATACCATAATTTTGCGGGAATTGATTTTTCTTGCCTTGCATACAATAGGTTTTCAATATTCCGATGTATAGCACGCTCGTAAATACACTCGAGAAACTATTTGCCAAGGTCTTACTCGTACACGCTACTGACCAACTATTAACTTCACCATTCGCATAATCATTTACCGAGCCGACAACGTACGGTTCGCTATTATTTTCCATACGTTAACGACACTACGCAGCGTCCTATGGAATTTTCAGTTTTGTCGAATCATTATACAATGTATTTGCTAGGCAAATTGATAAGTCACGTAAAAAGTATTCTATGAAAATGTTAATTGTGCGGTAGGCTTCGTACGACGCTAGTGGAGAACCTTTTTATGTACACGTGTGTACCGTCGCGTTTATCTTGTTTATGTTCAATATGTTAATTACGACCAGTTTTGTTAAATACACGTAAATAAACGAGGTAATTTGTCTGATAAGCACATGTAAATTAATTTGTTCATACTGTCAGTGAAGACCTTTGAAAAAGTCAAAAGTGATGATCATGTTTTATGATTAACACTGTACATAATTTTTTTACCAAATCAAGGATGCTGGGATCAGCTTGTAAGAAATATTATGTAACCACAGAAAGAAAGATATTTGGAAAAAATTCTGGGGATCCTTATTTGAAGGCACGGAGAACTTAAAAGTATCAGAATATATTTTGATAAAATAGAAAATGTTAAATGACTTTTTAATTTGTTTATAAGTGAATGATTCTCCACAGCTCAAGGCATTCCACAATTCAGTGGGGGTCCGGTGGAGTTCATGACCTGCGACGGCATGGAGTACAAAAGAGGGGACGGTTGGTTTCTTTCCTACACAAAGATTGCAGGGATCGTGGTGGTTTTCGTTATCGGGGTGGTTGCTGCCGGCTTCCTCGGATGGTACATCAATTCCTTGCCAAAGAAAAAAGTAAGGAATGTACAGACGTCGACCCACAAGTTGGCATATGAATTAATACAGTTCAAAGTCTACTTAACAAACGTGGCGGACTTATTGTTTATCAATAATTAATATTGTTATTAAAATTTATCCTACAGTACAAAACACCTAAGTGTTTTGTGAAAAATATATTTATGATGCAACAATTTTATAAAAAATATCATTTTTCTTAGGCTTACGACACGTTAGATTTGCTGAACGACGAGATCGAGAATGAAAATGTCGGAGAAACCACCATTTCTCCTTTGGTTCATCCCTTGAAATATCGTCTCGAGCTAATGCCGATGGTCGACACCAGTGGTCCGTCGACACTGAAGGGACGGGTGATTATAGAGTTTGAAGTTAAAGAGACGAGTCTGAAGAAGCTGTCTTTGAACGCTAAGAATATTACGGTGGATTATTATAAACTATCGTCGATGGATCCGGGGAAAGAAAGGCAAAAGAGGGCAGTGGACAACGATTATGATATCGAACGAAGTGATGGAGTTGGTAAATTTTCAAACTTTCTCGTTCAAAATTTTGTTCGTCCCATTACTAGATTGTTGAGAAATTCTTTTGCAGTGATCAGTGCCATGTACGCCGTGGAGAATGAGTTCGTAGTAGCCGTATCAGACAACGGAACAGTGGTCTTCGAAAATAATGTTCAGTACCCATCAGGAGATTTTCAATTCACCGACAAAAATGTAGCAACACCTGATAATAGTACAGAAATTAAAATAACAGAGTACGAGATAGACGACGATAAAGACATTCACACAGTTTCATTGGAAACTGCATTGCAACCGGGAGTTTATTTCCTGGACATTGATTACCAAGCTCCAATAACGGAGAATGCGTTTTTTATTTCGAATTACTCTCTTGAGGATGAGAAGTAAATATATTTATAGTCAGAAATATTTATTATATTGTCGCATGATTTATAACAAAATTATTTGTTAGGTGGTTGATGGGGACGAGATTAAAACGATCTGGAGCTCGATACCTGTTTCCACTCTTCGACACCACGTTGCACAAGTCAATTTTCTCTGTGTCCATAATACATTCCAAGGAAACGAAAGCATTGTCTAATATGCCTCTTAGGACCTTGAGAGACATGTAAGTAACACTATTCGATAAGTTCCAGCCCGCTCTATTATAAATTTTCGTGTGAATTCATATTGACCGCTCGATAGTTCCCCGTTTTCGGGGCTCCAGCAAATATAGAATGCATGCAGGGCTAAAAATAATCTAGAGCCTCTAGTAAAACTCAGAGAGAGCTAAAGTAGAGTTTAGACTTTAAGTGCTCGATAATTCCCCATTTTCGGGGCTCCAGCAAATATAGAATGCATGCAGGGCTAAAAATAATCTAGAGCCTCCAGTAAAACTCAGAGAGAGCTAGAGTTTAAACATCAAGTACAGTCGATTACAATTATTCATCTCGTATCCAGTACAATCAGGAAATTATCTAGCAAGAGATTATCGAGTGATCCACTTACTACACATGATCCATTTATGACACATGACCCACTTCAAACAGTAATTAGTTTCACTGTTTCAAGATCAAACTCATCCGTGATGGACACATTCGACGAGTCACCTCCACTTTCACCCCATAACCTGGCATTTCTGCTGGGTCACGTGGACTCCATAGGCATGGTATTCGACGGGCATTCCGAAGAGGTGGCCACGTTTTGGCTCGAATCGAACAGAGACTCGCCAAGGATCTACGTTTTCGATAAATTTAATTCAACTATTTCTAATTTGATCGACGTGTTCGACATGCCGTATCCTTTGCCCAAGATTGATGTGGTAGCACTGCCTCCAGGGATCGACGAGAACATGGCGAGTCCTGGATTAATGGTTATGAAGTAAGAATCTCGTTTACCAGTTAGAAAGGAGACACAGGGATTTGGAGGAGTTGTGATTTTGGAATGTGGGAGTATGGAGAGATGTAGGGATGTGAAGATCTGGAGATATGGGGATGGAGGAATGTGGAAAATTTACAAATGTCTTAAATTTCTGAACTCTAGTTCCAGTGTGTTAAATGTTCAGATGACCTCAAGTCTAAACCTCCCAAATCCCCAAATCTAGAGTTTCCAAACCTTAGTCCTAGCATTTCAAATTTTCAGAGGTCCTCAAGTCCAAGTCTCCCAAATCCCCAAATCTCCAAATCTTTGGGCGTCCTCAAGTCCAAAACTTCCAAATTCCAAAATCTAGAGTTTCCAAACTTTAGTCCCAGCATTTCAAATTTTCAGACGACCTCAAGTCCAAATCTTCCAAATCCCCAAATCTCCCAAATCCCCAAATCCCCAAATCCCCAAATCCCCAAAAATCCCCAAATCTCCAAATCTTCAGACGTCCTCAAGTTCAAACCTTCCAAATTCCAAAATCTAGAGTTTCCAAACCTTAGTCCCAGCATTTCAAATTTTCAGACGTCCTCAAGTCCAAATCTCCCAAATCCCCAAATCTCCCAAATTCCCAAATCTCCAAATCTTCGGACGTCCTCAAGTCCAAACCTTCCAAGTGCCCAAATCTCCAAACCACCAGATATCCTCAAGTCCAAACCTTCCAAATCCCCAAATCTCCAAATCCCGAAATCCCCAAATCCCCAAATCCCCAAATCCCCAATTTCCAAGTCCCACACCTCCGTAACTCTAAATCCCTATAACTCTTCCCAGCAATTATACAGACCTTGTTAAAATTTTCAAGGCAGTCACTGTTCTACGCAACCGAGAGTTCGCCAATAGTCACCAAAACCGATGCTCTGAGGGTTCTAATCTCCTCGCTGCAACAGCAATGGACAGACGAGTTCTCGAACGTGAATCGATCCGATGCATGGATCTTCGAGGGGTCGATGATCTATTTCCAACACGATATTGTTCAAAAGGCAAGCTTTTATATATTTACAAAGGTAGATAACAGAGTTGCTATAAGTCTAAGATGCACACAGCTTGTACCTGCGACTCTGGTAGACAATAAAACAGCATGATAAACCGTTATGATAAAATTGCATTTCCAGATAGATTCGTCATTGATCGATTACTTCATCGGCGATGTTCTAATGCACGCCATGGATGTCGATGGTTACAGCATCTCGAGACCTCTTCACGAATATGTGAATTATCGATCGTTGCACTTGGTCGATGATGAGATCGTGAAAGGTGAGATAATCTCGATATTAACACCTTGTTGATAATTAGACTTTATTCTTCGATGACCTTGAAATATGTGGTTCGATTTTGATGACCTTGAAATATGTGGTCAAGGTCATCATTCTGAACAACTTTTCTTTGTACATATCATCAGCTATCGGCCTTGGCTTCAGAGATATGCGCAAAAGATGGTATGACAGTTACCTACGTGGACGTCAGATAAGTGACAGCCATTTAACTGGACGGCACTAATGAAGATTGCCCTATGTCGTATAATACTATAGATTGTGATGTCTTATGTTATTCTATAAATTATTTTACCTGATATAATGTGTGCATAAGGTGTTAATAAGTCAGAGATATCGTTGGCTGATAATGGTTTAGCATTTTTCAATTGCTTGTAGGTGCATGTCTGATACGCATGTTGCATGGCGCGGTAAACGATACGGCGTTTAGGAATGGCTACAAGAGAGTGATAAACAGGTGGTGGGTATTTCAAAGTGCAATATAAATTAATAATGATGACAGATAGCCTACTGACAATTTCTGTACGAATTGTGTATACCGCCATTTTGTTAACAGTTGCCATAGAAATTTTGTGATGAATCAATTATTTTTTTAGGAAATATAATACTACAGACGTAGCCGATTTCCTGAGCATCATGGAAGAAGAAGCAACCGAACTTCCGACTGGAATTTCTTTGGAAGAAGCAATGAATTCCTGGATCTTCCAAGGAGGATATCCCCTCATCACTGTTATGAGAAACTACGAAACAGAATCTGCTATTATTTATCAGGTAAAAAATACTCTCGATATATTGCCATGATAGGGTATTCAACGTATTACTTTCAGGAACAATTTACATTGGACCGACCACTAGAAAGTATTTCTAAATTTTGGCATATTCCTTTGGACTACATCGAAGAAAATGGTAACTGGTCCTCGCCTCAGAAAGTATGGTTCCAGTCGGAACCTAAGATCCAGTTAGATAATGTTGGCTCGAACCAGTCTTGGATTCTTTTTAATATAAATAAAACAGGTAATTTGTAAACTCACTTAATTCTATTGTAATTATTATACTATCATTCACTATTAAATTAGAACTTTTACACAAACTTATAAAATGGCTGTCCTACGCCATTTTGATTTCAACATACATGGCGGCATATTCAAAGTGATAGAGAACACAACAAAGCTTATTAAACGTTCATAATTAAAATTCAGAAATGAAGATATATTTTAAACATTGTTAAAGGCTATTACCGAGTTCACTACGACGAAAGAAACTGGAAGTTGTTAAAACTGGCGCTGCAAAAAGATCATGAACTCTTACCACCAGAAACGAGAGCCTCTCTCATAGATGACATGTTCAGCCTAGCCGCAGTAGGTCTGATCAAATATGAGACTGTGTTTGATTTCATCGAATATATGCGTACTAAGGAGAGGCACTATCTACCTTGGACTATACTGATGCGATATACCTTCAAATTGTACAGGCTCTTGTACGAGACTTCCGCTTTCAGCGACTTTCAGGTGAATAAATCAAAAATGTCCGATGACTTTTGTGTTCGTTACATGGCCAAAGATGACTTTTTAAGGAATTGAGAGATCTCGTACTTATGGAATTGCTCTTTGCTTCAGGTTTTCATGGTGAAATTTGTGTCTCCATTGTATAGTGAAGTGGTATCAAGGCTGGACGAAGGTTCGCAGTTGACAGTAATCGCTGTCAAAATGGCGTGCGTGTTCGAGCACACAGAGTGCCTAAGCTGGGCCAACAATGCGTTCGAGAGTGCGAAGAATGATAGTGAACTTCAAGAAATGTAAAGTCAAATAAGATTTTGAGGAGGTTTTAATACGAGCGTCCCAGTGTCGCTACGTCTCAGTTTTCCTACGTCCCAGTATCTCCACGCCCCAGTATCCCCACGCCCCAGTATCCCTACGTCCTAGTATCCCCACGCCCCAGTATCTCCACGCCCCAGTATCCCCACGCCCCAGTATCCCTACGCTCCAGTATCCCTACGTCCCGATATCCCTACGTTCCAGTATCCCTACGCACCAGTATCCCCACGCCCCAGTATCTCCACGCCCCAGTATCCCCACGTTCCAGTATCCCTACGCTCCAGTATCCCTACGTCCCGATATCCCTACGTTCCAGTATCCCTACGCTCCAGTATCCCTACGTCCCGATATCCCTACGTTCCAGTATCCCTACGCTCCAGTATCCCTACGTCCCGATATCCCTACGTTCCAGTATCCCTACGCTCCAGTATCCCTACGTCCCGATATCCCTACGTTCCAGTATCCCTACGCTCCAGTATCCCTACGTCCCGATATCCCTACGTTCCAGTATCCCTACGCTCCAGTATCCCTACGTCCCGATATCCCTACGTTCCAGTATCCCTACGCTCCAGTATCCCTACGTCCCGATATCCCTACGTTCCAGTATCCCTACGCTCCAGTATCCCTACGTCCCGATATCCCTACGTTCCAGTATCCCTACGCTCCAGTATCCCTACGTCCCGATATCCCTACGTTCCAGTATCCCTACGCTCCAGTATCCCTACGTCCCGATATCCCTACGTTCCAGTATCCCTACGCTCCAGTATCCCTACGTCCCGATATCCCTACGTTCCAGTATCCCTACGCTCCAGTATCCCTACGTCCCGATATCCCTACGTTCCAGTATCCCTACGCTCCAGTATCCCTACGTCCCGATATCCCTACGTTCCAGTATCCCTACGCTCCAGTATCCCTACGTCCCGATATCCCTACGTTCCAGTATCCCTACGCTCCAGTATCCCTACGTCCCGATATCCCTACGTTCCAGTATCCCTACGCTCCAGTATCCCTACGTCCCGATATCCCTACGTTCCAGTATCCCTACGCTCCAGTATCCCTACGTCCCGATATCCCTACGTTCCAGTATCCCTACGCTCCAGTATCCCTACGTCCCGATATCCCTACGTTCCAGTATCCCTACGCTCCAGTATCCCTACGTCCCGATATCCCTACGTTCCAGTATCCCTACGCTCCAGTATCCCTACGTCCCGATATCCCTACGTTCCAGTATCCCTACGCTCCAGTATCCCTACGTCCCGATATCCCTACGTTCCAGTATCCCTACGCTCCAGTATCCCTACGTCCCGATATCCCTACGTTCCAGTATCCCTACGCTCCAGTATCCCTACGTCCCGATATCCCTACGTTCCAGTATCCCTACGCTCCAGTATCCCTACGTCCCGATATCCCTACGTTCCAGTATCCCTACGCTCCAGTATCCCTACGTCCCGATATCCCTACGTTCCAGTATCCCTACGCTCCAGTATCCCTACGTCCCGATATCCCTACGTTCCAGTATCCCTACGCTCCAGTATCCCTACGTCCCGATATCCCTACGTTCCAGTATCCCTACGCTCCAGTATCCCTACGTCCCGATATCCCTACGTTCCAGTATCCCTACGCTCCAGTATCCCTACGTCCCGATATCCCTACGTTCCAGTATCCCTACGCTCCAGTATCCCTACGTCCCGATATCCCTACGTTCCAGTATCCCTACGCTCCAGTATCCCTACGTCCCGATATCCCTACGTTCCAGTATCCCTACGCTCCAGTATCCCTACGTCCCGATATCCCTACGTTCCAGTATCCCTACGCTCCAGTATATCCTCTAGGTACCCCTAGATCCAAATACCCCCAGGTCTCAACATCCCAAAACCCACTACACACCTCCAAATCACATAACTCCCACTTCCTAAATCATAGTCCTCTAATTTTTAAAAATTCTTTTCCCAGCATCCCTCCATACCTTCGCGAAGCCTTCTACTGCACCGTCGCCCGTTACGGAACCCGAAAGGAGTGGAATTACTTCAAGGAAATGGTAACAGCAACAGAAGATGAAGAGGAGAAAAAGCGTTTATTATCTGCCTTCTCTTGTTTCCAAGCTCCCTGGATCTTGCAGTCGTAAGTGAATTGCATCTTCCATTTTGAAGTGAGTAAACTGGTAACACATTTCTGTTTTGATCAGCATCTTAAATGAGATACTACACGAGGAACTATTCAGCCCAGACGAAATATCAGTCATCTTAAGGTGGTTTCCTCGCAATCCAGCAGCGGCTCAAGCTGCCTCCCGATTCGTTCGAGCTAATTGGCAAGAAATTACGCAGAGGTGTTTTAAAATTGAATGCAGAAGTAAATTTTTTAGTATATAATTTAGAAAGATATTTTAACAGAATTGTTATCTACTATTTAGGTTTCCTGGAGCTTATTCCGTGCTGAAATCTTTTGTGCTGTCGATGATTAACGGTATCACTACCGAACAAGATTTGGAAGACGTAAGACATTTTAAAGTTTCTATCTCCTTTTGATTTTGTACTTATTTTATTTATTTTTTCAGCTTCAACTGTTCAGAGAAAATAATTACGACAGCATGAAGGGAGTTAGGTACGCGGCAGCACTCGTCGAAGCGAACGGAAATTTCGAGACGTTGTGGTTGAAGAATTCCTTGCCCGAAATCGAAAAATTGTTGAAGGTAGTCAGTGAAGATACTTCAGCCTCGTGAGACAAATTATGTTAAGGGAAATTGTGAAGTTATTAAATATTTCACGAGCTTCCATTTTTATTTATAATCAGTTTTGTACATTTAAGTAAATAACGTTTGCGTTATTTTATGTGTGAATTTTTCGATATTCGAATAGAGCAATTAACCAGCACTGCAAAACTAATTGCCACGTGAAATAAACTGACATGTATTTATTTGAGAAATCAATTTTTAGCGATGGTAACAAATGAGTGTAATTTAGATTTATTTGTTAGGTAGTAATAAACATCGTTTTTAAATAAAATAGTATGTTTGTTGATTGTTATTTATCATGTCCAAATAGTACTGCAATTTATTTAATCAATAAAGTCTATTTTTCGCGAGTTTATTCAATTTTCCCGCGCAAATCGAAATAGTACTGGTGGCGCCATCTCTCCGGCGAACGGGGTGAACTACA